TTTCTTATAATTTAAAAATAAATGCTGCAAAAAAGTAATCCTTATTTTCAAATATTATTATACCAAATTTTATTTAATTATTTTAGTTTTTTAAAAAAGTAGATCAGAGCTAAAAAAGTATAAAAACACAGACAAATTTGCTTATGTTCTACTACAATCTAAGGGATAGTTTCTAATTTTTAAATATCTATTTGTGTTTATCTATTTTCAGTTAGCCAAATAAGTAAAAAGAAATTTCTTTCACATAATACACTATTTGGAGTAATTGTCAAAACTTTTAATGCAGTTCTTGAAGATAATTTAGTATTAGTTCAATTGTATTTCATCAAGTTATAGGAATATCATAATCTTGAGAATATGGTGCATCATATAGATATTTTTTTTCTTTATAAAATCAAAGATAAGCAATTAAAATATTACAACTTGCATGATCTTTTCCAAATTTTTGCCAAATAGAACCAATTATCTTAATAATTCTAGAAAATTGACTTATTTTAAAACCTAAATCTAAAATTTAAAATAAAATTAGAAATAATTTTTAAATTAAATATAAATTAAAAAAAATTTATTTTAATTTAGATCAAAATAATCTTCTCTAAAATTTAGTGTTAGTATAGACCAAAATTATATTAATACTAATCAGAATTTTTTAATATAAAAACCTGACTAATATTAATAATTTATACTAATTTTAAGGTTTAAAAAAAGTTATTTTAATTTAAATCAAAATAAAATTTTTCTATAAATTATACTTGTTATGAAAATTTGATATTAAAAAATATTCTAATATATATAAATTATCATCAAATTTTTCAAATTATTTATTTAAGATATTGAAACAATATTGTCAAAATCCAGTATATTTTTTTTGTATTGGCATTTTTTTAATTGTTATATTTGTTTTTGCTAAACTTAAAAAACAATTTTCAAGACTTGTATTTTTGTTTTCTAATAATAAAATTGATTTTTTTAAAGGTAATAGTACAAAATTTAATACTTTTAAATTTATTAAAAAGTTATAATGATTAATAATAAAATTAATTTGATTATTTGTTAATATTCCATCATCAACAATCTAAAGATAAAAATAATTTATTAATAATTATTAATAATATTATAAAATTTAATTTATTACATTTTTTAAACTTTTTCTAAATTTAATATATTTTCAATTAAATCATTTGCAGTTGTCTATCTTGTTTTTGAATAATTTTTAAAACCTCTACCAACTATATTCATTGTTTCTATTAAAGATCTTAATTCAGCTCCTTTAATATATAAAATTTATTAAAATAATTATTATAATAATTAATATAATAAATAAATTTTAAAATTAAATAAAAATAGAATTATATACCTGCTTAATGTGAAAATTTAAAAAAACTATATATAATATTGCATTTTTTAATTAATTGATTTGTCCATTCAAATTTTAAAATATCTTGTACAACTAAATTTATTGTATGTGCTATACATCTTATACTAAAAATATATGAATGTTGTAATGAAATTATACTTTATATAAGTTTAACATTAGCTTCATTATTACTAACTATAGCTAAAAAATGATCTATACTAATAGAATTTAAAACTTCATTAATTTTGTTAATTAAAAATTGTCTTGTAAGTATTTATTTGAAAAATCACAAAGTTTGTATAAATATTCTTTATGTTCAGGAATAATAATTATAAAATTTCATATTGAATAATTTTTCTTATTAGTCCAACCATCTAATACTAAATTAAATTTAATTAGTTATAATTTATTTATTTAAAAAATATATAAAATATATTTACCTAAAGTTAAATTTGAATATTGTTAAAATATTTTATTAGTTTTTTGATTAATAATAGCTAATTGTTATTCTAATAAATAACCTGATAAATATTAACATGTTGGTAGATTATAAGATAAATTTGTTTCTTTTAATGCTTCAATAAAAAAAGGATTTTCAATAATATTCCAAGAAATTCTACTAATAACAAAAGCTTTAGCCTAGACAAGATAAATTTTTTTGATTTTTTACTAATTAAATTCTATTATACTAACATATTGATTAAGTTTTTCTTGACTATTACTTTTTCTTTTTTTATTAGATTCATCTTTTTCTAAATTATTTGAAAGAATTCTTGTAAGAAATTTTCTTATAATTGTTGAATCTGCTTTTGTACAATGATTGGCTAGATGATTTTCTAATTTAGCTAGTTCATCACAATTCTAAGATGTTCCATACAAATTACAAGTTGCTTTATATTTTCCTTTTGCTACTTTTTCATCTCTAGTAAAATATTTCCAATCTGGACTATATGGATGATTACTAATATTTTTTTTGTCTTTATCTATAGTAGAAATTGATATGCTAGAATCTTCTTTACTAGAACTCATTTTAAAAATAATATCTAATATTATAAAAATAAATATAAATAAATTAATATTAATTAAATTAAATATAATATATTAATTTAATAAAATAATATATATAGTTCATATTAGCTTACTATTCTAAACTATATTTAAAATTAAAATTAGTTTAATTTTTTTATTTGATAGTAATAATAAAGTTATTTTTTTAATATATATAAATTTCTATTCCAATTCTAGTATTTAAATTTCAATCAAATATAAATTTTAATTTTAATATATTTAATTTATTATTTCTTATAGCATCAATTTAACTAAATATTTAAATTGCAAACTAATTTAATTTAATAACATAATCACAAATCAATTATAACAAATTTGCAAAACAGTTTAAAAGATAATTTAAATATATAACAAATTATTTCTCTAGCAATTAAAATTAACTATAAGATTTAATATTATAAATTAAGAAAAAATTGTTAATAATAATAAATATTTATAAACTACTTACATATATATAGTATAATTCTTGAATTTTTAATAAAATATAAAATAAAATCTTAATTATTTAATAATATATAAAAAATTATTTAAATAATTATCTTTCTTTACTAGGAACAGAGTATATAGTTAAACAGCAAGTTAAGTATTTCTATACAATGCATGAATTTAATTGAATATTTTTTTATATGTATAATTACTTATTTCTTATTGTACTATTTTTATATACTAATTAGAAATTGCATATCAGTATAAGGCATTGATATCTATATTATACATGCTATAAAAACTAATTGTGGCTGTGTTAAATAAAGTCATAATCTAAACCAAAGCTGCAATCTAAAATACAAGCCATAATCTAAATTGATAGCTGTAATTTTATTAGCATGCATTTATAGAAACTATTTAGACATAACAAGTATTTCGGCATATAAATTTATTTTTTTTTTTTTTTTTTTTTTAAGGTGAGGCCTTGCTCATATCTTTATTAGTAATTTTAGTTGTACATATTAATA